GGAAGGAAGGAGGGTTTCTAGAAGCCAGGGCGTTGCTACGAGGTTCCGCAGGTGAGCAGCATTCAAAGTTCAAACGCGTATCATATTCGTTTTTCACATGTTGTCCCAAGCCTGTCCATCCCTGCGCAAGACTTCCACGACGTGGAAGTGAAATAACTTGCACTGTCACTCAACCTTGTGTGCACGAGATGAGATGTGTGCAGGGGATGAGATGTGTGCACAAGATGAAAATCATAGTGTTTCAACGCCCGTCCCATTTGGACACATTCCACATGATTCTGCTCATCGGCCCCATACATATCATTTGCACTCCGCCTTCAAAAGTGTGCCTTCTTCATCATAGTTTAGTCCAGTCCAATGACATTGGCTCCACTGCAAGATTACCTATGCATTGTATTTACCCCGACGGACTGTGAACGCTTAGGAGGGGGGTTGTGGTGGAGATATGTGACTGACCCCTGTGATGCCATGCCTGGCTTTAGACTTGCTGAAGCGAGGGGAGGTTTCCCGGGTGGTCTTTGAACATCCCTGAATTTTTTGAGAGCCCCCTCCGGAGTCTTCTTCTCAAACTTGTTCTCACCACGAATCTTTGCGTGTGGCGAGGCGCTACCGGACAGAGATACTGCGGTCAGCGGAGTATTTTCTCCTCCTCCTCCTTGCTTCTTCCCCGCTGCACCACCGCCTGCTCCTCCTCCTGGGGTGCCACAGCTGCTGCGCCCTGCTTGGCTTGCCCCCGGCACCAGTCCTAATCCCGGAAAACCACTCAGGTAGTGAAGCGTGTGACTTCCGTAGCAGGGACTGAGCAAGCACCCCCCGCTGCTTAGAACGCTGTTGCTCTGTACTGCTGCCTCTGCACTTGCATACGCTTCTGGATGGTTGCAATAGTCCATCTCCACCTCCATCTGGCGGGCAATCAGGCCCATGCTGGGACGATTGCTAATCTCCTTATCACAGCATCGCAATGCCATATTCACCACCCGCTGAAGAGATTCAGCTGGAACATTGTTCCTTCCCAATCTTGGGTCTAACACATTCGCCAACATTCCTCTCTTGTTCATCAGTCGCACCCACGAAAGCAAATTTACCTGCACTCGAAGACGCAAAACCAGTGACGAACGATCACCTCCATACTTTAGAATGGGTAGCTAGCTCGTAACTACAGTCTTCCCCCGAATACAACGAACGGTCATTATAGCTGAACTTAGACTGAAAGATAGGCCAAATTCAGCTATAATGACCGTACGTTGTATTCGGGGGAAGACTTTAGCTCGTAAGAGACGGGCTTCTACAGGGAAAGGTTGCAACAGTCGCAGAAAACAGATTGATCTCGAAGAAATGGCACAGCGAAACTCCAGCAAGGACGACGACCCAGTGATGGGCAAACTGAGATTACAATCGCAACAATATAGACAACGCTCTTCTTTTCTTGCTTTACAAGGATCATCTGACAGAGTCACAGCAGATTCTGAGAGGAAAAGTGGTAGGGCAAGCTGACAGTCAATCCCCCGGCTCTGGAGCAAAAAATGCTGATCAGGGCTCCTTCGGCCAGACGGATGTTCACCATGTTGTATTCCAGTTCTCGACTTGACGGTGGACAGGAACCGGACTGACACTCCCCAGAATGGATATGGCGCCAGGACCACAAGGACCTGTTAAAAAAGAACAAAAAAGAAAAAAAAAGAAAAAAAAAGAAAAAAAAGGAAAAAAAAAAAAAAAAAA